GGAAAGTTTAACCAATAAAATATAGATTTAACAGAAATTTACAATGAAGAAAGAGTTAAACACAAAGAAATAATAAAGAAAATAAGGCTTAACGAGGAGTAAATAAACAAACAAGTCTTGCGTGGTAAACAAATACAGAAGGAAAACACGAAAAATCAAAACAAATACAATTAAAACACAAAAGCCTTAACATATTTTAAAAGAAAAAAGAATGAAGAAAGAGAAAACAAAAGAACAAAGTAACGTAATAACTAAACAAAAAGGAAAAATAAAGTCGGACAAACAAATTAACAATAATACATAGAGAAAAAAGAAAACAATAAACTCTTACACTAAATTAATAACGAGAAAAAATAAATTAAAAATAAAAGAAAATCAAAAAACTAATAATAATAGAATAAGAGAAAGATAAAGGGAAAAATAAAAACGGGGAAGGGAGTAATTTAAAAAAAGAAAAAAAATCAAAAAACTTTGTCAAACAAAAGTCAGCAAAAGAAAATGTAAAACGAAGGTAAAATAACTTAACTAAATGGAGTTTGTGGAACAAAAAACCAATATCCAAACGTGGCAGAAAAACGATTGTTTTAGGTCTGGTAAGGACTTAAACGCTGACTCACTGTGTCTCGACTGCTGCCTTAGGAAGTTTCACAGGTTAGTATTTATGAAGGAACAGTTTATTCTAATGTAGGTAGGTCACCATCACAATAAAGATTTTTGGGTGAATAATTAAGTAAACATGACTTTGCTTCTCCACACACACACACGATAACTTTTAGTGACAAAATTAATGTTACCCAGGTTCTAATCATTCTAATCAACCAACATGCAAAAGTGGGGGTGAAGTGGGTAGGGTTAGGATTTATTCAGTAGTGAATAGTTTAATACATAGTTATCCACCAGTTCAAATCTTGCTGTTGCTGTCAGCCTAATTATGACTGAATTTGTTTATTATAATTGTTTTTTTTCATTCAATATTCATTTTGTAAGTGTAAGCGTTCTGAAAGCAAAGGAAGTATTTGTCGCAGATTACTTCCACAACACAAAGAAAAATCACTGTAAGTACAGACTCGAATATTGGGGGCAGAAAGAAATGCTGAAAACTCGATTCGCCAGTACTATCTCGAATCACAATGTGTGTAACCAGTCAGAAAAATAACTCACTCTCTAACAAAATGCCCGAATTTTTCGCCCCCGAATCAAGAACACCAACTGCTTTTATCAGCAGAACCTATTTTCTTCATTCGTCGACAGCTGGGATAGGATGCTCCGTAATTTGCATATCAGAATACTGTTATAGCGACTCCTGCGACGGACTTGTTTCTTTGTCACTTTTTCCGTCAGAGAATACACACGCGTTGTCGCTGGTTTGACGAGGTAAGTCGCCGTTTTCTTCGCTATAAGATTTTTGCTGACTACTTTTTGGTAATTTTTCTTCGCAGATCGCTTTAAAACACAAACTTTTTTCCGGGGTACCTGATTATCTCTTTCACTACACATTTTTAATCAACAATTTTTCCTTCAGTTTTCTTCTGGCTCCCACATTCCAAAATAAGGTCTAACATCACTTATCATTTAAGTCAATGGTGATCTTAATCCTCTTTGAAGGGTGTTTACATGTCTGAACAGGTGTAGGGTCAATGTCACCTGTTACATATGGATTTTGCCACATAGTATTGCATTAAGGCTATCAACTTGGCTGTTAGCAAGAGCAATATCAAGTGCTTGACCTTGCATAACTTCACTATTGAATTGTTTTGTTTTAGCTGAGTTAACATTCTTGACAAACTTTGGAGTAGCTATATTGTTAGTAATCTAATTTTTCAAGTATCTTTAGCAATTTCAAAGAACAGGTTCTGTTGGGGAATATTAATGCTGTTCATATTGCGAATCTTGTATGGCTTATTGATGCTACTTTATTTCTTGTTATGAATCAAGGGTGAAAACACTTGTACAATTTTCAGGCTAAACTAAAGACAAAATTTTATTATATAAGCAAAAAATGCCTTTCTATGCCAAGTGTTTAGGGCAAAAGAGCCCAAATTAATTTTTCTGAATCCAGGTTCTGTCAATTGTTCCTACTTAAACACTGTCAACTTGTAAAAATTTGAAAAAATTGAGCAGAAAAGTATTTTGTAGGCAAACTAATAGGTTAAGACTGCACCTTTTTGCATACACTGAGTTATATTGGTTGACTGCATTATGCACTGCTTACCAAAAAGTGGACATTTTGATTTTTACATCAGTGTAAATGTAAGGGTTCACTCACTTTTACACATCTTAATTTTTAATTAATATTTTTATTCCAAGTTGATAAAAAATGTTCAAAGTGTAAATTGTAAGTCATTTAATAAAGGTTTTTCTTAATATATAGTTTAATTAGCATTTGTTGATTATCTGGAAAATAGAGACAATTTTTTTTTAACATCATCTTCGGGGTTCACTTGCTTTTGCACATTGTATGTGTATATATTACTAGTAGATAAATCTATCTAGCCCCTACAAAATAAGATATACAAGAGGTTGGTGAAAGTTCTTGGTATAATCAAGATTTCCTCCATTCAACAAACAAATTCTGATGTTTGGTCACTGGGTTTTATATATATATATATAGAGAGAGAGAAAGAGATAAAAAAATTTGCATACATGCACATATACTTGCATGTACATATAAATACATTTCTTCCTCAGGTGTTATAAATACAGTGCTCAATGTAGTGGAACAGCTATCTCTATCTATAAAAGGAAGGATGTGTGTGTGTGTAACGAATGCACAGCCGCAATTTTCGACGGATTTGCACAAAAATTTATATGCACGTGCTCCAAGTTAGCGGGAAGGCCAAGACTGACTTTGCACGAATGTTAACTAGCATGCTAGCATGCAAAAAAAAATCGATAGTTGCATTCGTCACAAATGGGAAAAATTTAAATCTGCATGGCACTTTACTCCATTTGGCTCATTCGCTTGCTTAAACTCAACGTTGATTCTGATTCCACAGAACTGGGTTGGATGTGAAAAAGTATTTGTTGTTAACATTTTTTTTTCATTCGGTTTTTTCAGTTACGAGTCCTTTTTTTAAAGCTGATCGTTTTGTGTTCATTTTGTTTAGTTCTTTTTTCGTAACAGATTTAATGTTTAGTATAGAGCTTAGAAAAAATTCACAGTGTCAGATAGGCAAGAAGTAAGGCATGTAGCAACATCAGCATGTCAAAGGGCACTCCTTTAAGGGCAAGGAAGGGCAAAAATATTTTAAGTCAAGTGATAGCGATTGTTGTACGAGTTGTACAATTTTTGAATCAAGCATGGGCAACACCGGGCCATGCTGCTAGTAAGTATATATTAGTGAATATACATAATATCCAACATTGATAGCAATACCCAGAGTTTCTTGCAATCTTCAGGTACAAATATAATCTGACTGTTATATGGTTTGTGTTTTCATGCTGATTCAAAATTGTGTATTAAAACTTAGAATTAACTATTAATAATTTATATCATTCAAATTCTTCACTAAGAAAAGTGAAGAATTAAAAAAATAAAAAAAAATTTTAAATTATTAAAATTTAGTTGGATTCAAAAGTAAACACTATACTAAGGGGATAAGTCTTCATTTTTTTTTTTTTTTTTTTACATACCCTAGTTATGCCAATTAACTTAAACTAGATCACAGGGTGGAAATATAAATGTGTGAATATAAAAAAATAATGTCTGAACTATATATCTAATGTGTTTGGGACCAAGCCTTATACTTATAAAGCTGAAATTATATAATACATATGTTATAAATTAATTGAGTACAGTAATATTGGATTGTATGTGTGTATAGGTATAAAAGAAATGTTATTAATGGTAGGTTCTAAGAATATTAAAAGTTGCTGCATATTATATTAATATTAGTAAAATCTATTTTGTAATCTCTTTTAATTGGGGTCAACATGTTTGAACAGGTGCTTGCATTTATGAATACATGTTCAAATTATCGTATAAATGTTGATATAACAATCAGTTGAGTGTATGTGTGTGTACACACACACACACACACACAATGTCCTCAAAAATGTATATGGACATGAATAACACTTGTACTTCACCTGAGAGTTCAACATTTTTATACTGAAGAATAAATGTGATAATAATAAACAGAAACTGAAGAATCTCTTGTAATCATGGGATTATTTCCAATTGCAGTCGACGTTTGAAACTGTCTTTTGACAATTTTAGCTACAGAGGCATTTGAATATTTAAAATATGACTTAAGCATGATAAATGCTTCTCTTAAACAAGTATAGCATTTTTTGTGGTTTATTTTGTATGTATACATTATTTATTATTATATTTACTCGTGTTTATGTGTTTATTCATAGTTTATCAATTTCTTTTAATTTACTTTATCTATTATTTTTTTGTTTATTTGCTATTTTACTTTTGTGCGGGTGGTTAGTTATTTGATTTGTTTGAAGTATTGGCTCTGTCTAAAGTATGTTTTATCTGCATTGTATATAATGCATATATTAGCATTTTTTATGGTAATATTTTACAAGATATTCATTTTTAATTTTTTAAGTAACATAGTAAAAATTTGACTTCATGTCTGCATTTGGAGATAAGTTCTGATAATTTATTTAGTAATTTGTGTTGGTCTAGGAAGGTAACTATAACTATTTTCTCCAGATAGTCTACAGATTTTGCATTTATTGCTGTAGGCAGCTGTTTCCCTATTTTCCATGATATTTTTGGCGTGATTTGGTTTTCTTATTAATTTCCTATATATGTTTAGAATATATATATAAAGTTAACATTACTTTTTTTTTTCTTAATTGAATCTGCTTGACTAAGTGTTTTTTTTTTGTTTTGGTTTTTAAGTTCACTCTATTCAAGTTATTTTTTTTGTGATCAAAATTATATTTGGTACTAATATTGACATTATCATTTTTTTAAAGAGACTACTGGCTTTACCATTTTTATTTAAATGTTATTGTTCTTTTTTATTTTGCTTTTTTAGTTCAGCGGCATTTACTCAGTGATGCATATCTTTGTCAGGAAGCTTGGAAAAAAAGATTAAATGCACCAGAATTAAAAGTTCCTTGCGGTAAGTGTATTTGTCTAAACTGTTTGGCTGTCATTTTGGATTTTCTTTTTACTTGTTTGAATTTTTTTAATGGCTAAGCAAGCACCATAATTATTTGCTTAGAGTGAGAAGTGTGCCAATTCCCCTCCCATTTTTAATTGATCACACTTAAACAAGGTAGATGAAGTACATTAAGGCAAGGAAATGCTCCTGCTTTATAGTTAGAGGTTACCATTGAGCAAAGTACAGTATTGGTTTCATATCTAAGAGGTTCTCATTATATCCCCATCAACCAATTACCAACACAGTATCAGAAGAATTCCTGGCCTCACTGCACTTTTCTCTGTCAAACATATCTGGCAGTTAGAGCACAAAAAGTGTCACGCATTCCGCATAAGCAAGAGTAAAATGGTTTTCCAATTTTATTTTCTTCACCATATTGTACACAGGACTGAATTTTAATAAAAATAAAAAAAAAACTTGTAATAAAGCTCTTATAGTGACTAGTGGTGGGCTTAATGCTGTTTGATACAATGCCTCAATTTCTGTTTTCAGATGAATTCCTTACGAAGTTGTTTGACAAATACGAGAAAGATAAAATGATTTCAGTAGTTGACATCTCGATTGTAAGTATAAATCTTCTGTGTGTAATAATGAGGCCGGAGTAGCATTGATGCTTCTTTTTCTATAACTTTGTCTCTTCCAGTGCTACGTGTAATTCTTTCTGAATATCATGTTAAATATCTATTCACATAATGATACATTTAGATGTTGGTAGTCTGACAGATAAACTATATATATATATATATATATATATATATATACATACACACACATATATATATATATAAATTTGATAATGAGCAAGATTATCCAGAAAGTGTTAAAAGGATCAGAATGCCAGTTCTAAGGGAAGTAACTATTTTATGTCATAAAATAATTTTTTAACTTTAGCTAAAAAAAAAAAATAAATTGCTATTAAAATTAGAGACTCTTACTAAAATCAAATGGGTGCGGGGAAGAAATTTAATTTTATAAATAGAAACTGAATATGAAATAATTTTTATTTTAAATATTGAATATGGAAAATAAAATATTGAACACTGTATTGGCCAAATTATCAATTTTCATATTTCAATTTTATACAATTAAACAAATGATAGGTTGGCATACACAATAAGTGTAAGGCACACTGGTAAATCTCATTATAAATGCAATCTATATGAAGACATTGTAAAAGAGAATGAGACCTTAATTTAAGAAAGACACTGTCTTGGAGCTGCAAGAATTCATGAGATTACGCAAGAGAGGAGGACAGCATTTGTTTTGGGAATGCTGTGCTGTTTGTCAGTTGGGAAACACTTGGACGGTTAGAAAGTGATTACTTGGATCAGTTTCACGCAAGCTGTTTCAGCAAAAATGACAGAGGGAAAGTTTGACCTAAAACTTATTCCCGAATTTGACAGCTCTGCGTCTGGACCATCTGTGGTCAAATGGATTGAGAAGGCTGAGCTAGTCTGTAAGATGTGCCAGGTGAAATATCCAGAACACGTAGTCCCTTTAAGGCTAATGGGTGGTAAGTTTGCTGTCTACCAGCAGCTGAGAGAGGAAGAAAAGGAGGATACAGCTTTTGCTACAGACAGTTTTCTGACATGAGCAATTTGCCGAGCGATGGCTACATCCCTGAGAATTGGTGGATGGCTATCTGGTGAAGTTACGAAAACTTTCCATCCTGTTCGACAGAATGAGTAACTGTGGCTTGGCATGTGCATTCGTGTGAGTGTTACCAGACCAAGTTAAACACCTCCTTTGTGCTTCAACCTAGATGAATGAGTTGTCTATCGATCAGCTATTGACTTTAAATTATGAAAGATGAAGTACTGGAAGAGGGACTGGCAGTCGGGGTGATGCAAACAAAACAGGATGTGGTGGGGAAGCTTCTCACTGGGGATCCATGTGGCTCAATAACATGCTGTTGTTGCAATGGCCCTAACTATTTTGCAAAGGATTGCAAGGAATTGCATACTGAAAAGCAAACACCCCAGATGCAATGTTACAAGTGCAATGCAGTAGGGCATGTAGTCTGCAGTTGCCCAGGAAACAATCCAGGGAAATAGGCCTTAGTGCCAGTCAAGCTCCATACAATGGGGGCACTACCTGCAATTACTGTATGCATCAATGGAATCAGGATTTCAGCCTTGCTAGACACAGGCTGTTCTTAATCACTCGTAAGCAGACTGCATTGTTGCTCTTGGAAGAAGAAGGAACTCGATATGCTCACTGTTGCTGAAAGACCCTCAACTGCACTGGGGTAGGACTTATTCAAGTTGACGTGAGCAACAGGCCTCTATTGACATTGAGGTTCTGGTTGTGGACGACAAATCGCTTGGTTTCAACCTGCTGCTCAGATTTGACATTATTAAGAAGTTGGGAGTAGCATGTGTGTCCAGCAGTGGGATTTTGAGCTTTCCTCAACTTGACCAATCTTTATGTGCAGCCATCACCATCAATGAACCTGACTTCCATGTGGAGTATGACCAGAACAAGAAGATCTGGGTTGTGTCTTGGAAGTGGTCTGGTGATCAGACGCCACACATGTTGAAGAACCAGACAGCTGAGTTTCCAGTACCAAAGCTGCTCGTGAACTATGAGCCTGGATGGATACAGCTGGCTACTTCTATATCCTGAGGAAGAGGTTGAGCCCCCCAAAGGCCTGATCCCTCTAATGGCTGTGCTGCAGGAAAATAAACAGAAGGTCTGCCCAGTCATGGATTATTGGGAACTCAATCAGTATGTGGACACGCGCACCACAGGGGCACAGGGCACAAAAATTGAGGGAGTGAGGACAGGAAGGATTAGATGTTGCTGAGCTGGGTTTGTGCCATACCTATTTGCAGATCCAACTTGATAAATCATTATGGCCCTTTCAAACATTGCAGATAGATGAGCAAAGATATTGTGTCGTGTGTTTTGGTTTTGGGCTTAACGTGGCACTGCTGATCATCTGATCAATTGTGAATGCTGTGGTTGCACATCCTCATATATCAATGAAATATTTGTCAATGAAAGTTTATGCACTGTGGCACAAGCATGGGCACATCTTCAGCAATTCAAACTGACAAGTAAGAATCCAGAGTGTTTATTGAATGGTACCCATGTGCTGGGATCACATGTGCAGTAAGAGTGAGGCAAATTGCTATGGAGTCACAGGAGTAACCTCCCACTGCTACCTAATGTGCTCACTTGTCGGAGCATCTTCTCCCTGTGTGAGAAGTTGACTGGACATTTGCCAGTATGTAGCTGGCTCTGCATTACAACTGCATTTATAAAAGGGCGCGCACACTTGGTGACAACTGGCTGGGATGATGAGGTGTGGGATCCACCTCTGACTCTGATGCTGATGGACATCATTACCAGATTGGTACAGAAGGATCTGGCGCAAGATGATTGGTGTGTTGATGGATGCAAAGTTACGGTGCAGGTTGATGCAAGCTCCTTGGCCTCTGGCATTGTTGTGGAAAGCAGTGAATCCTTAGTTGAAGATGCCTGTTGGCTACGATCAGAACAAGAAGATAACCCTATCAACTGGTAGATTGACTGTTGATATAAAGCTTGTCATGCAAACTGAGCTGATCAGCTCACTAGAGTGCCTCAACGTTGACTGGGTGCAGTTTGAAAAGAAATGACGAATCCACCTCAAGGTCTCGAAGGTAGCTGTTCGGGTGGTGTTTGGAGAGTGCAGTGTGCTTATCCATTGACCTGGTGCCAGTGCATTGGAAAGCTGGACAGTTGGATGTGTGCGGAAATTGGAGCAAGGTTGAGATTGACATAACCTATTAGGATGGCTGGCATTACCTGACTGATTGACTGCGACTCTAGTCAGTTTTCTATCTGGTGGCGGTTACCACATCAGGATGCTGCAAGCATCATCTGACAGTGGGAGTCACTATTCTGTGAGAGAAGGCCACCTGCCAAGCTGCTCATCAACAATGGCGTGGCATTCTGCAGGGGAGGTATTTGTGATGTTTACTGAGAACTGGGGTGTCTGACTTCAATTCTAGTGTGCCTATCAACCATCAGGGAATGGCATCATGGAGAGATGCCATCACACCATCAAGCATATCACTGCTCGATCAGGATGTTCCATTATGGAGGTGTTATATTGGTATAATGTGATGCCAAAAGACAATGCAAGAGCTTCATCAACACCAGCTAACACTATATAAAACTATCAAGTCCACATAAAAGGTGTCAATGTCACACCACCAATTGAACACACAGATCCTGGAGTCTCAGAGCCAAAATGTGGTTTGGGTAAAGACCCCACATGGTCAATGTTCGACGCAATTTAAAAAAGGAACAATAACACAGGTCTATGGCCTACATTCAGTTCTCATCAATGGATTGCCATGCCATATCCAAGATATGCGCAAGAGATCTGCTTTGTTGGAAGATGATGGCAGTGATAAGTCATCTGAAAGCGACTCAGATTTGCTGCTGTTTTTCAACCCAGGGCCAGATTATTCACTTACGGAAACAGTGGAAACAGATGCTGGAAACAATAATGATGATACCAGTAACGAAAGAGACCAAATGGGCACAAATGCAAAAGAGACAGGTGGAGCCCGTCCACCTTTACATAGAAATACTCGACGAAGGTGACTGTCATCTCCATGTCGTTTATGTGATCAGGAGATCAGGGAGGAGTGTAGAAGAGAATGAAACCTTAATTTAAGAAAGACACTGTCTCAGAGCTACAAGAATTCATGAGAGTATGCAAGGAAGGAGGACAGCATTTGTTTTTGGAATGCTGTCAGTTGGGAGAGACTTGGGCAGTTAAAAAGCGATTACTTGGATCAATTTCATACAGATATGCCAGTCTATCTTTTGTTTATATGTATGCCAAATTGTCATATTAGTATATCTTTGTACTGGTTGTATTTATGGTGATCTTATGGTGTATGTTTTGTTTTTTTTAAAGAAAAACATAGATAACCCATAGTTACTTTGTTGATGCTAACTATTACTTTCATTACTTCACTACCCCTCTTCACACTAACAACAACTAGGAGGTGGTGCTTTTCCACAGGGAATGAGGGTGAGGGCGCTTCACCCTCTGTCCCTATTATTTCCAGAGACTCATTGAACATGCACCGTTCTATTTCAAGTTCACTGTCACTTGAGGATGAGTCCTCAGATTTGCTTGCTACTGAATGTTGATTCCATTCCAGTCAAACGTTCCTAACATACTGTCAACTAAAAAAAAAAAAATTGTGAACTGATGCTCTTAGTCACTTTTCATGTCACAAATCTGGTGATATATTGGTTCTGAGTGAACCACAATATGTCTTTTATCTTGTATGTTTTGTGCTCCGGTGTGAGATTTGTTGAAGGTGCTGAGTCAATAGACCTTTTAGTCTAATCTCCTAAACGTTGATTGCATTTCCAGGTGCAATTAATGCTCAATGTGCTATCTTTCACTGTTACATTCCTGTATTGAGCACTGCTTCCTCACAGCAGTCAGCTCCTATGACATCCCTTGATATTCCTATTTCCTGGTGGGATGTGTGCACATCAAAATTGAGTCCAAAACCATTTCATGGGAGGTAGTATCTGCATCTCTTCCTAGTCTAAAAAGGTTACAGTAACTTGTGGATGTGCAGCTGTAAGTATGTGTCTCACATTCAACAGGGATACATTTTCCACTCACTGCCATCATTTTCTCAGTTTGTGCAAGCAGATATCTGTACTTGCCATAAATGTGTAAATATATTGGTTTAGCTCCCTGTAGTCCATTACTGGATGCACCTTATTCTTGTTGACTGCCATTATCAGGGTTAGATCCTGAGACAGCCCAAGCACCACCTCAGGATATAGCAGTAGCTATCCTTTATCTGATTAGACTTGCAGTTCATGTTTGTTTTTCTGAAGCATCAGTTTGGACACAGGATATTCCACTATCTTCTTCTGTAACACAGTTGGAGCCTGATTCTTCTGCCTATTTCCACCCTGCAGTCCATACTTTGTTTTTGTGGTCAAATTTAGTGTTGGAATCTCATTCATTTATAGCTGCACACAAGGATGGTTTGCTGCTGAGGAATTCCATTATGTTTGATGGCATGATCTTAATTCTTCCCAGCTCCTACCAAAACAATTACTGTGATAGGACTGTCATCCTACACAGTTGAACATTGACAACCCATACTCTACAGCAGGTGCTGCTTTCTCCATTGATAATCATCACCTGCACAACCCCCTCCATCCATGACTGGTATATGTCTTTGCTTGTTTTTGTTATTGATTTTCCCTAAAAATGTTTCTCAAACAGTTTCAATATATCTGGCCTACATCCTGGGAATGAAAATAATGCATGACTTATTGTGGTGCTGTTCTTGTTTATTGCTTTCTCTCCAATGGTTCAGGCAATCTCTCACCATGTGGTTAGGTCTGTTGCATTTATAGCATTGGATATTATTGCATGAACCCATAATGAGTTCATTTGTTTCATTTTGTGTTGTCAGCACTGCCATTACAGCCAAGTGCTCTCCTATAGTTTCATCTTTCATGAGTAACTTAACCTGGGTAACATCCACTGACAAACAATACTCTTTGACCAGCTCCAAGAAAGTATACAGCCTTTTCCTTATTAATATTTCACTCACAGCCTTCATACACTCTTGTTTTGTTGGTTAAAACATTGGTAAGCCAGCAATAAACACATGAGGAGTCAGTTTTTAAGTGGATGACATTTGCCTTCCACTGTATGGCCAAGTTGATTCTTTTATCATGGCATCCAGCTCTGCAAGGCTGATGTCATGCCAGTCAGATTTGGTATGTAACTAGCATACATGTTCAGTGGTGGAACCATTCATCTCAAGTGAAACTCCAGTTGCCAATGAGCATGCATCAACCCTGTGTTTAATAATGCTAGTTGCTATATGCAACCACCTACACACTAGAAGGTATCCTATGAACTTACCGCACAGAGAAAAGAAATTACACTGTTGGGATTGCTATGGGTTTGTATTTGGTATCAGAAGGTTTTTATTTTTAGATGGTTAGTTTACGGGCATGTTCAAAATATTTATCCGCAACAATATAGATAGACATTCATAAAAAAACGAATCAATCAACAGGCAAGTGAGTAAAGAACACCAATTATCAGATTTCAATAGAACAAAATGCATTTATGTACAAATATACAATTTTGAGAATAAAATTGATTTGAACTTAAATGGACAAATGAAAATAGGTGTATTTGGCTGTGTAGAATATTATTGTGAATGTTTGAAGGTGTTTGCAATTGCTATTCAGATTTGTTCAAAGAATTAAACTAAGTGTCCAGTTACGTACTAAATTGTCCTTTGTGCTAGTTCAGTTATTAGTGTGTGTGAGTATGTTTGTATAATTGGCAGGAGTTGTGTACTTTTAGTTGTGTGAGAATTTGATTGTTTGTTTACTAATACTTATTAAGTAGTGAGAAGAAAATGTCACTTTTCAAAGTATTGTAAGTGATGTTCTTGAGAGAGATAGAGTGTGTTTGTGGATTGTTGAGTCAGATATTTTGCGCGGCAAAGACCTGGTTGGTCAGAGTTTTGACTTGCGTGGGTCAGTCTGGTATCTCTCTAGGAATGTAGATCTGACTGGTGAATTGGACTGAAATTCATCCTTTTATTTGATTTGGGAAACCAAAGTAGGCTCCCAGTGGCCTGGCGTGAAAACAGATTTTTGACCATGGATACACATTCTAGGGTCGTCTCGAGCAATAACAAGCCGAGTTTCACAATGTGTGGTGTTGATTGGTCAAAGCTAATTTTTATAGAAGAGTCTATTTTTAACGGGGGTGAGTAAACAAACATTGACGATTCTATAACTCCATGTAATTATTTCAGGGATATCTGGGACTGCATTTTCCCATTACTACTGCAAAATGCCATTCTAATTGGAATATGTTTTTTAGAATTACTTTTAAACTGTTTTACTTGAGAGTATAAGATAAGTGCTCCTGGGAAAGGCATAAATCTAGTACTCCCTCTACACTCATTGACAGTTAATTTGATTATGTGTAGCAAGTGTAAAGGGTAAAAAATGATTATACAGGGTTTGGCAGAAATACCTCCCACATAACGGTTAGGCATTAAGCTAGATGAAGACACCATTGTCACTAATGTCTTACCATTATGCGAGAGGCATTTCTGCTACACTCTGTATTAATGAATACATGAGTAATTCATATTTTTATTTTACCAGACTAGGCAGTAAAATAGCTGCAATATCCATTATCAACTTTGATCTCAGTGACATTTTTCCATTGTTGTCCTGATCTGTATTTTCTGCCCCATTTTATGCAGTAAAATAATGTTAATGTTTTACAATGTAATAAATGTCAAACATTAAAAGTTTATATTTGAAGAAAAGAAACAAAAAATCTTGTTTTTTTTGTTTTTTTTAAAGTTGGTCAACAAGATTTCAGAACTGGATGAAAATGATTTGAAAATGGTTGAAAGTCTACTTTATAAGTAAGTTTGGATTTTTTACTAATTTTTTATTTCCTGAGGAAAATATTTATAATGTCAATGATTTAACTTTTGTCCTTAGCAAGAAAAATTTTTCTTAGTTTGGATTTTAAAATTTTATCTTTTTTGTTGGTCCTCAGAATTCTTTGTTTCAATTGAGCCATTCTCTTTGAATTTCCAAAATAAATTTCTAAATAATTTACTTTTTATATTTTCCCCATTGTGTAATTGTACAGTATTATAACATACACACATTTCAAATTTCAGTGTCTAGTTCTCAAAAAAGAAAAAAAGAAAGTTGTTGAGAAGTTTTGTCTATACCTACTAATTAACAAGTTAGATTCTATCATCAATTTTTATTACCTTCTAGACAAATTATCATGTAATCATTGAAAATAAAAGATTAAAACATTTTGTCAATCCTTAATTTGTAAAACAAGGATCAGCATTTCTTTTATTATTCTATTATTATCTAAATATCAAGCTTTTCTTGATCCAGATGTTCCAAGTGCAAATGACTTCAAAATGATGTATCCTTGTATTTATACTATTACTTTGGCTTAGTATAATGGTTCGAATAAATACATGACTGGGACACTACACAACACCATGGACCTCTCTGATTTGGGGATCATTTGTATCACCTATGGCACTTTAGATGACAAGAAGTCTGGGTAAAGATGCTGGGAGAAAAAGCTTGACCATTGCCTTATTAACAACTTGTATTGTGATATATTTTGAGCTTTCAAGCAAGCTTCAAAGCTCTAATAATCTTGAGAGTCACATAAACCGTGCAGTCCCAAACTTAACTGATACTATGGATCTAATTTTACCTTCAATTTGTAAACTTGTTTATATCAATTTTCTCTCACAGGTTCCGCCATTGCCGAAGCGCGCATGATATAACTGACTCTTTGGCTTACAGTTTAGTCCGTTGTTACATTGAGATCAACAAGGCTGAGCGTTTGATTCCAATTTTGAAGAACAAGGTAAGTATATTCTTGGTATTCTTTGTCAAGGTAGATGATAGTCTCATTGCTTTTTTGATAAAGACATCTTTTTAATTATTCTTGATGAGTATATATATATATATAAAAAAAAAAAAAAAGAGAATTTTTACATTTAACTCAAAAATTTAATTAATTGTTCTTCAAAGACAATTGGAATGGATGTTTCAATTTTGTTCTTTAAGCTTGTGTTTCAGCCCAGCAACTACAAGGTGTGTGTGTACATATATATATATATATATATATATATATATATATATATATATATATATATAACAGAGAAATTCAAAATTACTTTATGAGTATAGACTATTTCAACTAATGTCATTGTGTTAGTTTCAGAACTAGAAATATAAAATTTAATAAAGAATGCAGTTGAAAATTGATACAGAGTCAACCCCTTGACATAGCAAACAATGCAAACTGCCCGAGTGGTGGTAAGGGGGAGTGTTGTCTGTCTCAAATGGAAAGAAGCTACACAGATTCAACCTTAACACCCCAAGTTGGGGTTAAAAGAAAGATGGATAGAAACTAAAGGAAGGCCGAAAAAAGAAGTTTTAAAAACAAAATTATTAATTATATAACAAAAAAAATTTACCACTCAAAATTACCAAACTATGCTTAAAAAAATATATAAGATTAACAATAAATCATTTATAGATAGTTTATATTAAGAAAAAATATTAAAAATAAAATAAAAATAATTATATTAACTATTTAAAATTTAAAAGATAAGTTAAATTATTAAGAATACCAAACATACCCAGAATATATATAAAAAAAGAAAAAAACCCTTTTAAAAAAATTAAAAGGATAAAGAAAAAGTAAACAAAGGAAAGGGAGTTCATAAAGTAGTTGAAGGTCGTAAGATAGGATTGATATGGAAAAGGCAAAATAAACTCTTCCTTTTAACTTGAATGATTATATTTGCTTATGTAATTTTTCCAATTTTAATTTTTTTTCCTATTTGAACAAAAGTTAATATTTTAAATATAGGTCATTGTTAATATTCAACTGTTTTTAACTTCTCTCTAGACTTGTATATGTTCTGTCTTCTTGTTCCCCCTCTATACTTGGGTGTTTCTTTTTTCTTTTTTTCTATCTCCCTCTTAAATCTCTTTTCTCTTATTTGTTGTTTGTTCTTCTGTTTTTTTTTCTTTTTTCTTTCCTTATTTTAAATTTGAATTTTAAAAAAAAACATTATGAGTCATTTTTTTTATCAAACGTTTTAGTAACGGCAAGCTCCAGGAATTTATCCTGAGGAGTGAAATGGCCATAAAAATGGGGTACAATTGAGTTTCATTTTTATGTAATTCATATATATATATATATATATATATATATATATATATATATATATATATATATATATTTATATTTTTTTAAAAATGTTATTTTTAGTGAATTCTCGTATTTGAGTAGGCAATCCATTTATTTAGTAAACAGTATATTTATTTATTTTCGTCTACCAGCCTGAATGTTTGAGAAAAACTTGCACTCTCCAGCAGGAATTGAACCTGTGTCACTCGGGGTAGAGGGAGCTACCAATTAGGCCACTACTCCTTAACCAACTTGGCCAAAAAGAGCACTTGATCAAGTGAGGCTAAATTTTGTGCTTTCAAGTGAAATTTCTCCTGACATAGATTTCTTAAAGTTTTTCATATCTGCACAGTTTCATATCTAGACATAAACAAAGAATTTTTAGATTTTTATTAATTCAACACGGATGAAGAAGTTTAACCACACTAGAAAAGGAATAATAATGATAATGAATAGATTACAATAATTCAAGTTATTAATAACAACAGACATTTTGTGTTAATTAATTTTATTGATTGACTTTTCCAAATTACAAATAATCCTCCTCAGATAAGAAGGAAATTCTATCAGAAATTGTCCAAAATTTATTTTGGAAGAAATATGGTCCAAGCTTTTGACAAGTCATCAGGGTAGGTAAACAAATGGTGAGTTTCATAGGCTTCTTAAATTATAATTGTTTATATTTATAGATGGTGGTTTTTATTGTATGTGTATTGCTTTGAGGATCATAAGTCTGTTTTTATTGTTTGAGTTTGATAGTATTTTGGTATTGTTTGTGAGTAGCTGTCTAATATTACTATGATCCTTATGCTGCTTATTGATGTGTTGCCTGATGGCAAAAATGTTTATTGTTGTCTTTAATAATATATATGTGTGTGTGTATGTAAAATTTCCTTTCCTTCTCTTTTCAGGTTAATTATGGAATTTTCCCAAACTGTCAAACAGCTAATATCCTAATGGACCATTTCATAAAGGCTAAGAAATACAACAGTGAGTGGATGGTTTTCCATAAAAATTTATTTCTTTTGTAAAAATCTTTTTGTTTTTATTATTATGGGTTATAGTTTATTGTTTCCACACAATAACAATTCTCACATCCTGTTTATATATAAATCAACCTTGAAGTAATGAAGTGTAAATTCTGCTGGAAGCTTATTTTCACCAGATAAGTTGACTCCTTGAAAATAAGGTATATCTCTTCCATCAGCCAGTTCAAAGTTCAAAGGTTTTAAATGGAGGGGATTATTACTTCCAAAAATTTGGTATAGCTAAGGTTTAAATATAATGTATTTTCAAAAATGAAGTTGAAGTTTTCTTTTTAGCCTCAGTTGAAAGCTAAAGGATTAAATTTTCTAATTCCAGAAAGTGGTGTATTTCAAACAAAAATTAGAATGGTTTTTATTATTTTTTTTTTTTTTTTTTTTTAGAAAGACAAATTAAAACTGCTATTTTTTATTTTTGTTGGCATATTTTAAACAAAATTTAGTTCTTGGTTTTAAAAATCTTGCAAATATATATTTCTGAAGCATTATTTGCATAAAATTAGCAAATTTAAGATTAAATTAATCTGTTTTGAAACAAATATTACTTATAGCATAAAATTTTCTATACAAGCATTTCTTAACCATAGGGTCTTGTTATTCTCACATCTCCATATATAAATTAATGGCCAAAGGTTTTGACTGGTTAAGTATGGTGGACCATAATTAACTAAAATTTAGAAATTCTAAGTAAAAACAGTTTATTTTTTGTTTTTTAAGAATTAACAAAATAATTTAAGCAATTATCTAATATTTTATTGATTTTTTTTTTTTTTTTTTTTTTTTTAAGGTAGTTAAGCTTACAATTGAAGATGCTTTCTGAAAATATGAAAAAAATTAATGGTAAAATTTTTTTTTTTTTTTTTTTTTTTTACCAAGATTTTCTTAAAATAATAATTTCAAAAATGAATTCATTGATTTTTGCAAGGATTTTAAAATTAATGTGTTTTTAACCAGAAATGGTGGCATGAAAATATCCATTACCAGCTCTGTTACACTGTTGACACAAAAAAATTATTGGTGATAACTACACAATGTCAAAGTTTCATTTTTATTAGAGTTGGTCAGTTTGGCAGTTTTCGTTCCAGTATGGGTTTCCGTTTTTTTTTTCCTTGATACCACAGTTTTTGATTCGTTTTTTTGGTTTTTAATTTAGTATTTTCACTTTCTAAGAAAGCCATTAATTTTCTTGTGTAATGGTAGCATTTCCAATCAATATCTGATTTTGTTTGACATTGATAAATTTGCAACTTAGTCCAATCTTAAAGATATTCACATGACTGGAAAGAAAATAAAATAATCTTTCTAAACATGTAATTCATATATGCTTTTATTCATTGAATTATATTTTTACAGCGACTTAAAACAGTATTTTGCTTTGAACAGCCAAAAATGTGAAAAATATGATTGATTTTTTTTTTTTTTTGAGACTAAATTTTACACATTACTTTGTTTCACAAAATCATTGTGACCAACCTTTATCAATATTCTTGAAATTGTACGCTCAATGTTCTTATTTATAAGACACCTTAAGCTGCAACCAGGAAGATGTTTGTTTTCTCTGACCCATGAAAGCAAATTCCTTCAAAAATTATAAAGTAAGCAGCAAAAAAAAAAAGATTAACTTAGGTCTGTTGTGACAGGGAGTCTGGGGAAACACCCACGTGTATTTTTTTTTTAGTGAAATTAGAGTAGATTTGAATAGCGAAATTAAATCAGAGCATTTTGTTTACTGATTGGGAAATCTGATCTAGGGCAGAAGTTGTACCGATTGAATCTGGATCATCAGGAGACAATAGAAATGGTCGAAATAATTTTTATCGATTAAAAATTGAAATAGAGTTGAGTAAGCTAGAAGGAACTTTGGAATTCACGTGATTTTGGTTGAAGCAGCCAAAACCCTGTGATAATCGTGTGCGAAGTAGTAGGGCTGAGGGTCAATTATAATCAGCCGGGTTTATCTATATAAACATGTAGTTTTGCTGAAAAAGATAGACTGGAGAAAATTCTTGAAGAGAGAAGAGAGAATCGGCCCAGGCAAGTGTTGGGAGGAGGAAAGCCACTATAACTAAGTCCCACACAGAAATCTTTATCCGTCCATCACAAGAGTCATATATCGTTCTGAGACGATTTAACAAGATAATCACCTACACTCTCTCTCTGTCTAGAATCCAGTGTATGAGATTTTTTAACTTTTCTTTTTTGTAACCCGTTTCTCTTCTCTACTATTCTTTTCTGCTATATAAAAGACATTAACAATTCAACCATTGAATCAATGTTTGTCCGGCTTTTTGCAGATATTAATTTTTTTTGCTGCATTCTAAATTTCTTAGCGCAGACTCCCCAGCCATGTCTACATCTTCAGTCAGTCGACATCACTTCTGCTTTCTGGATCAAACAAATCACAACGTGGGCAGGAAGATTAAACCAGCGGACCGGTCGAATAATCTACGGATGCTCAAGGGACCTACGGCCACTCCCTTAAGTTCGGTTAGATCCGAGTAGACACCTCAAACCTGAGAGTAAGATGCCGGAGGTTGAGGGGCCAGGGCCAAAGTGTTAGACTGTTAACTGGTGCATAAGGGGTCAGTATTTGGTTTTAAAGGATAATAAAAATTTATAGACATGTGTTAAAGGCCACTGAAATTGAAAACCCAAAAACTGCGAATCAGGGTGGGTAATAAAGTAGGAATTGTTCACCTAAAGTCAATTTTTAGGCTTTTAAAGGTAATTTAGTCATAGAATTCATGATTTGGATTAAAGTTTATTAAACTTGAATAAATTGTCAACCATAAATAACTACCATAACAAATTGATAAAATACAAAAGAAATTGTTGCATGAAATATCTATATTTGTGTCTTTGGACAACACATTTTATTTTTGAGAGAGAAAATAAAATGGTATAGTTCTCCAGAAATTAGCTTTTAAAAAGCCAAAAAATAAAACCCCTCATGTTTAAAATTATTAAAAATACAGCAATTCTTTTCTTGTATACCAGTCAACTGTTATTGGGGTTTTACAAATAAATTTCTTCTAAACAAGGAAAATCAATGAGTTATTTTTACCCTCTAAATAAATGTTTTTATCTAGCGAATACTACACTTAAAATTAAATATTAAAAGTAATTAAAAGCTTTTAATTTCATTTTTATAATGTATATATTTCCAAATTTGCGAGTATCACCAGTTTTTTACACATTTTAAAACTGAAATTAAAAACTATTTTATAATCATTTTAATATATAATCTTAAGTGTATTTGCTAGATAAAACCATAAAGATATTTGTAAAAATAAAATGAATTAATTTTCCTTGTTTCAAAGAATTTTATAGGCAGAACACCCACCGAACACTACTGGCTAAAAAAGAATAATTTTTACTTTGGATTTAAAACAAAAAGACTTGCAGTTTTCAAAATATACACATTTTAAAACTGAGAGTAAAACTCTATTTTTTTAATATCTAATTTTAGGTGTATTCACTAGATAGAAACATAATTTTATTTGTAGAAAACAAACAATTTTACACAAGAGACTCACATATCTGAAAATATACACATTTTAAAAGTGAAATTAAGAACTATTTTAATTATTCTTAATATCTAATTTAGGTACATTCCCTAGATAAAAAAACAAATTTATTTATTAAAAAAATCTTCATTTCTCTTGTTTGCAACTTATTTTGTGATTGACGTACACTGGCTTACTAGAAAACAATTACAAAAAACCCGACTTGATAACATTTAAGACGAAACTAGCAACTAATTTTTTATTTTTACTCACTATTTTGTTGTTAACTTAATTTTACCACAAAAAGTTTTTTTTTTTAAAACTGAAACAAATAGATTTTCATTTTTCAGATACCATGTCATATTCCTTTTTTTTCTGATTGAAAACATTCTATGATTTCCAAGTGTCATATCTGTCGTATTTCCTTTTTTTTCTTCTTCATTTCTTTTGTAAACAAATAGATTTGGCATATATTGCCTAAAACTAGTCAATTAAATGTTTTTTAACATATTTTTGTTCAATCTTTTTCTCTTACAATAGTATAAATCTTGATAAAATTTAATTCTATTAACATCTGAAAGACTTTTTCAATAGTGTTTCTTTGGATATGGTCACTCAGTAATAATATAGCACTTAAAAAAACGAACAATTTCGGTTTTGTAAAAAATTTTGATGTGGTTTCACGGTGTAAAGATGAAACTGAAAAAAGTTGGTTTTTTGGTTAAACTGCACATCTCTAATTTTTATTGCCTCAAAACTGGTGTTTTTGTTTCAGTATTTACTAAGCTTAACTGCATCTGGTACAAGTGAGTGTAGGTAAATTGTGTTGTACCAATTTTCTAACTTACCTCTTAATATTGTATATAAAAAAATAGCATAGAATATAGCAAAAATGTAGATAAAGCCACAGTATATCCACTTGACTGTCATTGTTGGTGTGTATATATATATATATATAAGGCATTTTCAAAACATACACAAAATATGAAGTGCTGCTACCTGCTGTGTGTAATGTATGTATGATGTGATCATATTGAAAATTGCTATGCCACTTGTGTTAGTTTACTGTATTGTTGTCTGCATGAGTTCTGCTGTTTATGGTGTTCCTCTTGTTTTGCCATAATTCCTAAAAGTCTAACAGATTATAAGCCCAAAATATGTGATACTTTAGTTGATATCCTTTATGTCAATGCTTCAATCCAGAATTTTCCTTCTGTTTATTTGATGATGATATTTATAGATTCTTGTTAATATCTATTTCATACAGAGCTAATACTAGATTTTTTTTTCATGAATTAACAGCCCTTCATTATGCCTAAAAACATGTCTAATTGCAAATAGCCAAATTCTTGAAAATGGCACTAATGTGAATAGCTATGATTATTATGGATAAACACATACTCAATGGATCTGATACATAGTTTAATACTATGTAAATATT